CTCCTCAAACAATCTGCCTGCCAGGAAATTTGTCTGGGGAGGTTGAATACTTTCCTATTTAAGCTATATGGGCACAATTCTTATCTTTTGAAATAAATAATCTATAGAAGTGTCTTCGGAGAAAAAATCTTTACAGTGATTAAAATGTAATTGCTCACTGGGAACTTGTTGCATAATTCAGTATCTGTCTCTATAATGGGAACAAACTGTATGGCTTGAGCATGCTTTTAGATGCAGATTGAGCTCTTTTCTATATCCAGGATGAAAGGAAGCCTTGGACTTGTCTGATAACTGCATTTGATTTTAGAATGAAAGAAGACAGACAAATTGGGAAAGTAAAAATTCAAGATCAAAGCTCCATCACAGAATCTTTTACCAGCCTGAGAAATAGAATACAATGGTTAGGGTGCTTTTATTCAAAGGTGTATCAAAAGTGGATGCTTGATTTTAGAGACAGTTTTTCTTTATTCTCAGGCTTGCACAGAGTGGATGCAACCTACAAGTCAAAAAAAACTAGATTAGAGGAGAAAAATAGCTGTGTTCAGGAAAACCTTTTACTTGCCCAGTCCTGAGGTCACTGAAGTAAACTTCAAAGGAAGGTATTCATATCCCTTCTACTTTAATATATTAGTGTTGTCTTTGTAATCTATCTACCAAGGGTCATCAGGAGGCAAACTCTGGTAATGCTCAAAGTAGTTCCATTAAAAAATGCAACAAAACAAAACTCTAAACATTTTATTATGCTTGGTCTCAGTCTAACATCTTTATTTTCTATTTCAAGGCTTGAGAAAAGTAAAAAAGTAAAGGGGAAAGGTAAGGTATTTCCAATAACCCCTTTTCACCTAGCTGATCCATATTATGATTAAATCAGTGATTAGATAACCTTACGCACTCACTTTTACTGCTAATATTTCCTTGCTAGGTAGTTCTAGTGAACAGAAAAAAATTCTTTTGTTCATATAAAAATGAAATTGAGAAATAAAATTTCAGAGAAAGAAGTGATCAAGATCCTCAGCATATACACACAACATATTTATTCAGATTACAGCCTGTTGGACCTAATGCTCTTTTAAAATTCCCAGCTTCTGAGAAATATTGTCAGACCACTAATATATAGTCTAAACTCCATAGCTTTGCATCCCCAAAGATGCTGTTGTCAGTTTAGCTTTCTCCACGATCAGTCACAGTGGATTCTCAAAAATACTAATTCATCGGGTGCATTGACTATCCCAGAGCTCTGGGAGTTCCTGATTAAATAACTCACCTCCACCATATTTCAGCATTGTGAGAAAGTAAAACTACATGAGAGAATTGTTTGTGTTTGCAGTTGCCGATTCATTTGAAGAGAGGGTGTGTCATAAATTGTGAAGCAGGTGGCGTTTCCTACTGGCTGATGGTTTGATGCACAGGTATGTTACATTGTCTTAGTCCAGATGGCAAAACACATATATCTGAGAGCAGGACATAGCCTGCTAGGCTTTGAGCAACTGGATGTAGTACATTCTTCTAACTGTTGATGTCCCTCAGAGAGCAATGCAGCAGCTGTCCCAACCTAATTAATTGTGGTCATGAAGCATACAGCTGTAGCTGCAAGCACAACCAAGTATTTTCTGCACTTGACATGCCCTCTGCCCTTTTTACCTTCAGTATAAGCTGCTTGATTTTTTCGTCTTAGAGCTAGTAAGGACTAGGGTTTTTTAATGGTGTTGGTTATGTTGTGTGAAAAACAGACAGCAGAGCACCTGTGCTGTGTGAGAGATGCTTGCTCTGGAATCCATAGTACTTCACAATAAATAAGTAGTTGTTACATAGCTGTTACATAGATCCAGACATGCTCGGTGCACAATTGTGCTATCTCTGCTGCCATGCTATATATGTTCATGTTTGTGAATATAAATGTGTGCAGGTACAGGAAGTCTTTAAGATAATGAAGAATATAGACAGCACTTAATGCTTCCTCCACAGAAAATATTTGAATTTCAGTTTCCAAAGGGAAATCACTGAGCCTGTGAAATAGGCCAGGAAGAAAGAAAGAAAGAAAGAAAGAAGGGAAATCAGTTCCCTTAACCTCCTTGAACTTAGATGGGGAAGTTAAGCAATAGAATATATAGCCTCAGCATAGGAAACAGAAGTCAAGCCAGCCAAAGGGAGAGAAAAAATAAGAGAAATACAGAACAATAGTGATAGGCTTCTTCCCAGAGGATGTATTTGCTCTGCTACATCTTTGCAAGGCAATTGATGACTAGTTGTTCAGGCTATCTACAGCTCTGAAAAAAATTTGTATGTAATTATTCTGTGACTTTGCAAATGTCAGTGTTGTAAAGGAAATGATGGGGCTAGAAGCATTTTAGAGAACAAATCAGAGCTAATTTTGGCTTAATAAAATGAACAATTTATTTAATCAAACAGAAAATGTGTTTTAGACAATACGGAGTGTGTGGCAAACAATATAAGAAAACAGAGGTTTTTTTCTAAAGCAAAACTTTCACTACTTTTTGACTAAATCTCAGTTTGAAATGTACTGTTTACTCAAATGTCTCCTCTTTTCTTAGTTTTACTCCTTTCCATGTAACAATAATGATTTGAGTCACAGCTGTTTTACTGGAAAAACCTCCTCCATTTCAATGCAAAGAAGTAAATCTGTTTAAAACAGCTCCAGTGTTAGATTAAACTAATCTATTTCACTTTGCACAAAAATGGACTGGAAATTAACATGATCAGTTATGGCATCTCAGCTGTGAGGCTGGTAACAAGCAGCTGTGAGAGATAATTCCATAAACTATTTCATCCAGAGGCATAAGAGCATTACTGTTTGTGCCCTGACATATTGAGAAGTCCTGTAAACTCTTAATTCATGGGCTAGTTACAAGGAATATGTATTTGTTTATGTCTGCTTATAATTAACAAGCAAATCACTACAGACCCATTGTGAAAGTGAATTGCACCTTGCAAATGACTATGGATATCTGGATACTTAAGACTTTCTGTGTTAAAATGCATCTGGATGCAAATAAAGAACAAGTAAAATACAAAAGCACTTTCAACAAGGCAAAAACTTTTAGCATAAGTAGAGTAATTGTGAAGCAAGAAAAGCAAAAATCAGCAAGTGATCTATCAGCTGTTGAAAATGTTATTTGACTGCTGTTTACCAACTTTGTGGTAAAAAGAAGACCTGAAAGGTCTGAAAAGGCATGTCTCAGTTATCATGAGATAACTGATGTCTAACTACAGATGTCTAATGATTTGAGATGCCCTTAGATGTCCTCCCTGGCTTTTCAGCCACTCCTTCCAAAGGGTGCAGAATTCTCATGGCTCTAATTTTCGTCAGCCTTGTGTGGATATCTTAGAAACACTACAACATCTCAAGTGGTAGTTGGCATATCCGTTTAGGTAAATAAATTTAGGTATCTGAGCAGAATTCCACTCTCTGCAAGGGAGAAATATTAGATGAATAAAAAGTAAAGACTTTCAGAGTTCTCATTCAGACAAGTCCTTGTCTTTGGTAAATGTTTTATCTGAGTGACAACTTAGCCCTCACCACAATTACTTGAACCAGATTTTGTATTGCCTTTTCTGTGGAAACAGTTCAGGAGTCTACAGTCTATTATTATGAGCAAATACTGCAAAACATGCAAAACTAAAATGAGTCTATGAATTTCCAGCTGTGTGACAAAACGCTTGTTTGGTTTGTTAATATATGAACAGAACAAGAGTCTCTAAAAGCTTGGCGTATGCAGTTTGAAACAAATGCTAAAAAATTGAACTTCAAAACAAGTGGAAGATCTGCCATAATTACAGCTATCTTATGGATAAAAGAAGCAGTAGTGACATGCACATGGTCCCTCTTAACAAGTGACTAAATTGTTTATCTTAAGGTTATAATTCTACTTTTAACATAAAAAAATAGAGCTTACTGAGGATGACTAAAAGTTATATTAGAATCAGAAAAAAATTAGTTGGTAGTAAATGCAAGTAATCATATAGTCAAACCTTTCTCCACATGCTGTGCTCAGATATCTTTAAATCATTCCTGACAGACTTGCCTGATAATGAAGGTTATAAAACGTTCCCAGACACCTATTTCATTGTTCACTGTTCTTACAATTCATAAGTGTGTTTGGTTGTTTTTCCTAATATCTCTGTCTTCTTTTCTGTTTTATTTGCTATTTATATGGGAACAGAATATTCCCTCCCTCTTAACTTGTTCCCTCCTCATCGGGATAATGAATTTTTCCCAATACTTTAGTGCTTACAAAACAAGTATGAGTTTATCAGGTAAAAGTTACCTTTCACTTAAAAGAGAAGTGCACTGACCGTGTCTACACGGTCAGCAGCCTTCTCTTCACTGTGAACATTGAATACATTCCACCACTTCAGACTATAAGACAATTAGTACTAATACTCTCCTACACAAATGACTAACTACACCTATTAAGTGTTGTTTTGGAATTATTTTATCAGTAAGCAAATCACAGCTTCAAACAATCTTGTATTCAGCAGCTGTACCAGTGGATATCTACCTTAAATGACCTTTACTATCCTTCAACTTTGATGAAAAATTTTGAAAAAAAACACCTATACTTTTAGAAAACAGTAGCTGAGATACATTGGATCACAACCTTGACTGTCATATAATTATTAACTATTATTGTCCAACATTTTATCTTTAGAACTGAAGGTTCAGATGTATTGAAATATTGCTGTAACAACAGGACACTGCATGGGCAAAAGAACATTATCCCAGAATACAAGGTATTCTAAAAATCACAATAAAAGCTATGTTTGAAGAGGAATAAATCAACGAAGCTTTTCCAGAGGGAAATCCTGCACAAAAAATCATATAAACAAATATTAGCACTATACAGTTTAAATTTTCAAGAGAAATTTCAGGGTATCCTAGAAGGACTATTAAAAAAAAATGAAACAAAACACAAAACCAAACCAAAAAGAAAAAACCCTAAATGTATCAGTCACATCAGATAAAAAATTTGGGAACAAACCTTAAAATAAGCAGTCCTTTTCCCAATAGAGGAGATTTAAATTAGGTTCTTCTTTCTCCTAGTATGTGTTGTTCAACATAACAATTAATTATCTGAAAGAGAAAGTAAGTAGTGAGAATAAAATTTACTGATAAGCTTAAATTATTCATGATAGTAAAAGTAAAAAAAGTAGTTTAAAGATGTGCAGAAGTATGTCAAAATATTGACTGACTAGGCAATAAAGTGGCAAATGAAATTCAGTGTTGATTAGCGCAAATTAGCACACATAGGAAAACAAGCCAAACTATATACAGTGACTGATTCTAAATAGTTACTGCCACAGAGGGCTGAAAACTATGTTTTACTAAAGATAGTTATATGAATATTTTGATTTAACGCTCATTTTTTAAAAAAAGGAAATTTTAAGATCTATTAAACAATAAACAGAAAAAAAGTCTGAAATAATCCTTATATAATATTGCGATGAGTCCTGAATATATGGACTTCTGATTCCTTTTTGTGAAAAGAGTATAGTAGAGCTAATAGAAATACAGAGAAAGTAAACAAGTTTTGTTGAAGATTTGTACACAATGATTTCTGTTTAAGAAGAAATTAAATATACTAGAACTCATTGAAAGTCAGAGCTGGAGAAGAACTTGAAATGGAATCACCAGTATGAGAAATTAACTTGGAAATCCTTATTCAGCAGAGGAAGTGGGGTCAGCATTTTTTTTGACATGAAAGTGGACTTTTTAAAAATATATATATAATTAAACCATTGCACCCATCATTCCAAGATAGTAAGAAATTATTAAGCTCATGGAGGAAAAGCACAGTATCCGCTGTGAAATATTAAGAAACAACACTGGACTGCTTCAGTTCATCAGAATTGGGGACTGTTTCATACAGGCAAGCATCACTGTACATTCTGCTCCTTTACATTTACCTAAACTTTGCATAGTGGCCCCTTTTAAGAGATGAATTAATGGATTAGATGGGCAAGGCTATTAACTCAGTGGAACTGCTGTAGAAACTCCTGTATTCTCATATCTGCATTCAGAAAATAATTCAGTGATGGCTGTGGTAAGATTAGACCATCAGAACGTCCTCTCTTTCAGGAAGAAGTTTCAGGGGAGGGAAATGGTGATTATGATAAAGAGTCCACTTTTAGTTCACCTATTTTGTCACAAATCTGGGCAGATCCAGCACCCTGGAGGCCTTGAAGGAGTGAAAGGACAGCTCTGTTTGGTGTCAACCTCAGCCTCCCTGTTTTACCCTTTTCCTTGCTTTATCCTTATCCCTTTTTCATTTTAAGTCCCAGTTGATTTTAAACTGCATTCACATCCCAGTACCCTGGTCTGAAAGCATATCTAGCACACCTGAAGGCAGCTGTAGAGCATTAGGACATCCTCCAACATCCATGCCAGTGCTGAGGCTCAAAGTGTTATACAGCCTCACACTGCTGGCCATGTGTTGTGGGAGCAGAGCCCTCAATAAAATGCTTTACTAGCTCTCTTTATGAACACAAAGAAAAATACCAAAGTGCTTTTGCTACAAAAAATTCTCCTTTTAGGAAAGATATGAGAATGCATGTTAGAGATTGGATGTAATTACCTCTACTTCCTTCTTTGGAGGATGACAGGCTTTGCAGAAAGCAGAACATTATAACATGCCCACTGGAAGCCTCCCAAATTGTCGGAGCAACGATTTTGTAGCAAACACAACAGAAGGCAGACTGCAAACACAGAGAGAAGCTACTTCTATTAGTAGTGCTGGATATTTTAACAAAAAGCCAGTTTCTCTTCAGAAAGAATGACTCCTCTCACATTATTAACCAGCAGGTGGTATATACAGCAACACTGCAGCCCAGGAATGGGGAGACAAATGTCATCTTTCTTGCTCTGTAAGAATAACCAATTGATTTTCCTTTATGACTGAATTTAAACTGGAAAAATATCTCAATTCAAAATTGCTTTCACTGGACTTATTGCTGGCAGAAACCAGAACAGGAAGCTTTACTTTTGCTTCTGTTTTAAATCTACCAATTAATTCCTCTATTTCACTAACTCCATTATGTTTATTATACAAACACTGTTTTACATCAACATTAATGATGTTCCATTTCCCTACTTTTCCATTTTAGGATTTTTTTTTCTATATATGTTTGACTGTTTAAATAAATACATAAAATATATATATTTTATATATATATAAAAATATATATATATAAAGTGAAACATAAGCAAATGAAACTCCAGATAGTGAATACATGCTTGCATTATTTAAGTGTTCTACTTTGGAATGCCTCTGCAGCACAGCTGTAGTAGAGGGTTGGCCTTGTCTTGGATGAACTGAGTTTAGAGACTAAATTCTATTACTTGTCTGTTTCATGGATGACAGTTGCTAGGGAAGTACCTTAAAATTCCCTTTCTTTGGACTCTGAGTACTTTTGTAGCTGAAAACATCTGTCACAACTTAGGATTTATGCCCTTTTGGGACAAGTAGTTCCCTAAGGACAATATCCTCTGAACTTACAGTAATTTCGTACTGCAGCCTGGTACAAAGGTTTTGCGAGACATTTCAATTTGGACCTATCTGTTTACAGTCTTACTGGCAAAAAGTAGAGAAAGACACCCCAGACTGGAAATACAAACTCAAACTGTTGCTCTGTGAGCCAGTTTTCATTCTAATATAAGCTGTACATGCAACACACTCATCAGCATGGTAGCAGCCTGGTGCAATGCCCAAGTAATAATGATTCAGTGTGTTCATTAGGATACAGCAATAGGCTGGTGCAGCCTATTTAAGGTGCATGTTGGTAAGTCTACCTGAGCCTAACAAATTCAATCAGGTCTGAGTTAGCTCAGTTGTTCTTGTACTGCACTCTGTTACGCAGTGTAAGCATGGATGATGTTTCTTTCCAACAAACAAGAATTACTTGTTTTTAAAATCAAAGGTAATGTACTTCCACAATCTTGGGGTTTTGCACCATCTTGCATTTACATTTATGTTCCAACTTTATGAACCATCTTAAACTCTGTTAATGTTATGAACCTCTTTAATGCACCAAGTTCCTATTTTATGCATCATTGATGATGCTTCTGCAAAAGGAAAATATTTTAATTTTTTTTAGCTTTTTAAAATGTTACAATATGAAATTGAGCCAGACATTCTATGCTCTTAGTAGAGCTATGCAAGCAACATTTCTGTAATTGAATCTCCTGTACTGATAGGGCAGCAGCAAACCACAAACACTATACAGAGTATAACACAAGAATACTGTGTCAAGAAGATGGTACAGAGAAATGATCTTATCATATCACAGGAAAAAAAAGACGACTTAATACTGAAATATTAAAAGGAAAGTCAGTATATCTTCAATATAAAAGCCAATTATTAGAGGAAGGCAATACTTTACATAGTTAATCCTTTATCTCTGCTCTTCTATAATGTTACAAAAGTATGGGAAATATTACAGATTCATGACAAAAAACAGTTGAGCCCAGAGAGGTCTCATATATAAGGTCTTATCCTTTATGCGTCATATTTCACAAGTACTTTTACTCTGAAATGAGCATGTTTGTACACCTAAAAGTAGGACGAAGAATATGATCATATTCAAACCCTCTTCCAGGAATAGCAGCACTATGTCCAAATATCAAGAGGCTGTTACTTGCTCTCTCCTTAATGGTTCAGGTTCTATAATCATGCAAATCTTACCTTGCATTAAAATAAATACGTAACTTTCATGTGACACAAAATCTCTAAAATCAGAAGGATGCTTTAACGGGCATTGTTTTCATGCTAAAGTTTGTGAGAATCTTACCCATGGTTATTGTATACTATATTGTCAGGTTAACAGTTCCTGTATGTTCCTATTGTTCTCAATACAGCTTTTTAGTTTGTCTTTAGAAACTAAAGTTACTGCTGTAATTTTAATACAACCCACTGTGCTGATACAGTCTTTGGAATCCAAAATTTATCTCAAGAGAAATTTTACAGTTGAGTTGCTTGCAAAGCTCTCAGATAGTTATTTCTGATGAAGAAGAATGTTACATTCATAAAAAAACTTGGGATAACTGAAAAAGAAAGGATAATCTTGTCATATTGATTGTTTAAATTAATAAGATGGAAAACTTCTAATCCATGAACTACTGTTGCTACAAAAGGGCAAGATATTCCAGTTATTCAGAAAGCTTCGGAATAATCAGACAATTGTTAATTCAAATCTAACAAAAAGAGAAAGGGTAGCACATTCTTCATGTACATTCTCCATAAAAAAGGCACTAAAACTCAGATGATGAACTTGATGTTTTAACATGATTTTGAATCAAATGTGGAGTAGACAGAATATATCTATGACTTGTCAAATTCTCTAGCAAAGCTTTTCAAAAGATTCAAGAAAGTAAGCTATCTTTTTTTTTATCAAAATACTGATAGCTGGAAAGTAGAATTTTTAGAAAATAGCGCATCAGAAGAACAGTAGATTTTTTTGAGCAAGATGTAAATGTATAGAGTTGTTCCCACTTTAAACACTTGCTAGCATGCAGTGGTGTACTATACTTGACCAATAAAAGTAGGTGTAGTGTGAATAAAAATACCAATAAACTTTGTGGCTAATCCTTTCTCAAAAGAGATTGTACCTCCTTTTAAAGCACAACTAGTGAATTCTGTGTACTCATTGTCTCTGGTATTTAAATGCTATTGATTTACAGGGAACATTATTTTCTTGAGAAACAGTGCAGTGCTTTTCTCTGTGACTGTCTTACTCTAGCTGACTGAGAACTATTAAAATATGCTTATCAGAGTTTTATGAGGAATAGTGCTGGAGGTTAACCTCATGGAATGCTTTGATAAGTCCTGAAATGGCAGAATTTTGGCTTGTCTTTCAAACAAGAATTAAGTAAGCTGTCATTAAAAAAGATAATTTAAACAGACCTATGCCCAAATCTCATTCATCATTGACCTTACGTATATATGAGCAGCAGAGGATGAGTAAACATTAGTATACACTCCCACTGTTTGGTTGTGCAGCAGGCATTTCAAATGGCAGTGTCTTAGCACAAGGTATTATTACTTGTCTGCTGAAAGAAAAGAATATTCTATAAAAGGAGGTAAAAGGAAAAGGGAGTTGGCTCATGATGCAATATTTTTCCTTAGTCCACAGGAGAGACACAAAAGGGTGTCAGACTTCCCTGCAGGGTGAATTCTCCTTTCCAGTGCTCAAGGCATTCCAGCAGAGATCATTGCACACAGACCTGGGAGAACTTGCACTTATAAACTGCATTCCTTCAATCATAGTGAGATGGCTGACTGTTTTATGTCCAATAAACTGTGACACAATCTTCTGCCTTTATTTCCCAGTATGATAAAAGGTTTTCATAATGCACCATATAGTGTTAGTGCAATCTCTACCACTGTGTTCTGTACTTTGCATCCCAGAATGGACTTCAGCAAATGTAAACAAACAAACAAAACCTCTTTTTATCCTCTGGCCTTCTGCATTTGATAGAACATAAATACCACATTTTATTCAAGCAAAACAAAACAATGCTGTCACTAAAAGATGCTGTCTTTTGTAAATCTCATGGTGTTTTGAGCTAAGCAAAAAGACAATTAAACCCAATAAAGTAGAAAAGGAAACCATGGGAAAACTTAACATGAAAGTAAAAAACTATTCAGAATTCTGCATATCAGATTTGTGATGGAGTTTGCTCTCTCTTCAGGAGAATGCAGTTAGTTTTACAAAACCTTTACACAATATTCTCAAGTTTCTCTCTGTAAAGTGCATGAATTGTGTCTTATTCAGTATAGAAATATCTGAGGCTATCAAATGTCTCTAAAACTGTGCTTATCTTTGACAGTATAATAATTTCTGAGTTCTCATCTATTAACAGATACAAAAATAGAAAGTAAAAATTTGTTATAGAGAATAAAATAGCAACATACAATATTGTTGTAGAAATAACCTGTGGACATGATAATAGAAGTATACAAATGAGGTGAAGTTGTAGATAAGAGTAATAGTAAATTAATGAAGCTTTAAAAACTCCAGAAAAACATTTAAACTTGCAAGATATGGCTCAGGTAAAAACTACTTAATGGCAGACAGCAGAGCAAGGCTCCAAGTTCCTCAAGATACATGACCAAAGTAGGTACTGTACCAACAGACACAATTGCATTGTCTAATCAGAGATGCCTAGTGCTGTTTGGACTAAGCTAGGCCTGTTCTTGACCCTGATTTGCAACTCCAGAAGGACATAGGTCACCAGTATAATATCTGGCACCCCTTTGTGGGGTCCTGGATGCCTTAAGTAATGTCAAATAGCACCCGATTCCCGTGTGTGGTCAAATCCATTGGTACCTATGTTGTTCAGGATACATTTCAATATGTGCAGTTTCAGTTTGTGTTTCTTAGTCTTATTATTGTACTCTAGAAAACTTGAATTTATTGTTTATTGACTGACTCTAAATTCTTTACCTCAACCCCCCCTTCCTTCCCACTGGTATTACATTAAGAATTAAATAATAAAGGTTCATGGGTCATCTACCGCCACCACCTGCGTCTCCTAGAACGCTTCCATCAACGCTGCCTCCGTACAATCCTAAATATCCACTGGTCAGATTACGTGACCAATACATCTGGTCTAGAACAAGCAGCAGTCACAAATATTGAGGCCATGTTACTGAGAACACAGCTGCATTGGGCAGGGCACGACTCCAGGATGAAGGACC